TTTGTTGTGTCTGACAAGAGTTCATCTTACTCCTACGTATCCCTAGGTGCAATAGGGAAATCAATGCTACGTAGGTCTGGTTTGAAAATTGATTAGTGTTGGTTTAGTTGGTTTGAAATGTTGATGTAAATTGTATTCTCGTTAAGAAAAGATGAAGCAACATAAACTATAATGTTTGCACCGCATCAAATCTTTAAAAAGATTTTGGAAATAGTTAAAATATAGTTGGAATGTATTCAGCTTTAAGATAGATAAAGCAGCAAGAACTAATGTCCGCACCGCATCAAATCTTAAAGAGATTATGAAAATAATTAAAATACTTTGTTGAAATTTATTTATCTTTAAGATATTGAATATTTTTGAAATAATTAAAATGCATTGTTTGAAATTTATTTATTTTTAAGATAGACGAAGTAGCAAGAACTAATGCATATACCGCATCATATCTTAAAGAATTTTTTTTGAAATAATTAAAATACATTGTTTGAAATTTATTTATTTTTAAGATAGATGAAGTAGCAAGAACTAATGCCTGCGCCGCATCATATCTTAAAGAATATTTTTTGAAATAATTAAAATACATAGTTTGAAATTTATTTATTTTTAAGATAGATGGAGTAGCAAAAACTAATATCCGCGCCGCATCACATCTTAAAGAATATTTTTTTTTTAAATGTACTATTTGAAATTTATTTATCTTTAAGATAGATGAAGTAACAAGACTTATTGTCCACACCACATCATATCTTAAATAATATTTTTCGAAATAATTAAAAATAGTTACTAATAAGTAAATCATTTTAGTTGAAAATAAATACATTTAAGTGATTAATATTTTGGATAGGTGCACTTTAAAAAGAGATTATACAAACATGAAGGGATTTGAAATTATTCATATTAGAATCATGCAAGGCGACTATATACGAATATACGATTATGACAAATACCTAAAAAAATTGGTAAGAAAAAAAAAAAATAATAAAATAAAAATAAAAGCAAAAGGGGTATGGCATTTATTGCAACCTAATTCAAATCAAACTATTATCATCTAATTACCAGAATTAATAAAACAAAACAATAAATGAAAAAATAAATAAATAAAAATAAGCTTGAAGGCCCAAGCAAGAACCAAGAGGCTGAGAAAGGGGGAAGGGGGTTTCTTAGTTTTTTTTTCATTTGAGATTGAGGGGTGTGGAGAGGAAAGTGAGAAGAGAGGGGAAAATCGCGACGGGGAGAAGAAGGAGGAAATCGTCGTTTTCGTTTTTTTCCATCTTCTCCTCTCCGGCGACCGCCATTTCGAGTGATTGGGTCGGTGCTCGTTTCTCCAGTAGTGGCTAAAGGCTTGCGGTGGTAACATTATTCGAGGCCGTCGTCTTCTCCTTCTCCCTTTTTCGTCTCCGCCTGCGAATGATGTTCATGGATGACGAACGAACTCGCTTCGTTCTATGCGGTTCAGGTCAACAATGACCTTCGCCATGAGTCGGTTACTCTACGAACAGAGGTAAAGGAACCCTAACCCTATTCTATGCAATGTATTAATCCCTATATTGTTTGTTTTTGGCTTATCTATTTTGTGTGATTGTGCTTCGTATTTTGATTCTATGCGTGTGGTTAGGCGAGCTTGAATATGCAACTGAGTTTCATAAGATTTGATTCACCATACAATATTACGACAATGATCATGTAATTCACCATAACATAGCATATTTAAGGAAACACATATCTCCTAGGAATGTAAGTTTTCATTACATTATTAAAACGCAGGTTTCATGCAGAACATCTTTTATTATTAACAAACTACCGATGTTTTACCTTCGGTGCTTGACCTTTACCTTGCTTTCGAAGACGCTAGGATTACTGAATTTGGATTCCTCTGCTTGTTGTGATGAATGGGTTTGTTAAATCAGGTTGTATTGACTGCTTGTGTGTAACCTTGATGTTGCTGTCTTTTCCTGCTACCAATCTTCCTTTATTTAGCTTTCAGTGTCTCGGCTGCTGCACATGATGTATGTGTATGTGTTCTATCTGGTTGTTGTGATATTAGTATGTGTATTATGTGGTGCTGCTCCCTTTTCTGTTTGCCATGTGATGAATGGTGTAGATTGTGTACTGTATATGGGTGGATGGATAATGCTTTCTGGTTTTTGTACTTGGATATGGTATGGCTTTTGGTTATTTTGTGGTTTTTTGGTTTGTGATATGTGAGTGATAGATAGATAAGGAAGAGATAAGAGTTCTCCCGATGGAAGCTATGGTTATAGGCTTATGTATCTGTGTGATATTCGGTTATGTTGTGGTATGGGTATATGGACTGGGGTTATGTTACTGTGATGTGCGTTCTGTAGAAAGATTGTGTATATGCGTATGATGTATTAGCGTCTATTTTGATATGTGGCATCTGTCTGTTCTCTTCTGCCTGACTGCTCTCTTTATAATGATTGGGGGGTTATTATTAAATTGGGGAACCTGTTGAGTTGCCAACTGAGTCAGAGTAACCTGTAAGACCTATGGTTTTGACATTTATGGATTACGTTAATTCTGGACTGCTTGCAAAATTCTGGCTTATTTGACATCATCTATATGTAGTTTGTGTTTCTCACCATTGATTGAGTTCAAAGGTTGTATCTTTCTGAAATACTGCTTGTTGGCAACTCATGATTTGATTTCTATTCCTCTTAGTGCTATTTCATTGATATCTCACATTATGAATACTTGCAGGGAAAATAGGATGTGTGTCATGTCTTGCATAGGTGATTGTATACCTTGCACAGGATACAGGGCATCAAGTTTATCCGTTTAGCATATTCATGTTCATACTCATATTAAGCTGCCACTGTTGGATCTGTTGTCCAGCGATGGTTATCTCTGCTGAGTTTTGCTTGAATTGCCGCCTTTGCAGCATCTGATGTTCCTGCTGATGTTTTAGTTGCTGGCATTTGAAGCATACTGGAGCCTGACCGAAGGGAATTTAGATTTGGGTTGGACTTTGTTGAATAAGTTCATATACCTTTTGTACAGTCAAGTAGACATAATCAAATACATAACTTCTTTCAAACCTTCTTGAGTGGTTGGGCTTTTCATGATATACAAAAAATGATTGTATGTGTCATTTGTTAAGACTTAATGTGTAGTGGGGTTTAATTTGACTTTAGTGCAACTATAATGCTGTTAAGGCCATAAGGCTAAGAGGAGAGACAGTGCCAAAAGCTAGCTCTTAATAATCGAATATGTTATCAACACTAGTTTAGAACAGAATAACTATGAGATGAAAATGTCCTCCAAGACACATAAAAAAGTTCTTTACAAACAAACTTTCAATTTTTTAGTATTATAAAAAATATGCATTTTTGGTTTATGAACTGTAAATAGGTCGGACAAAATTGGTGTTTACAGCTGTTCCTGATTCGCTAAAGCAAAAAAATTAAATAATGGTTGAGGGGCTTATGAAACCGTGTGAACAGTGAAGAAGGGAGATGAGAGTGAAGAAGGGAGATGAAACCTTGAACAAGTCTGAAACCCTTATTTTATTTTTTTTGCTTTAGTGAAAGGATGTTGTTTTGGCACTTTTTTTTTAAATACAAAAACCGACTGATTCAGTGAAAAATCGGCCGGTTCACCGGTTTTGTGTAATACCGACCGGTTTTGGCCGTTTTCCACCGATTCTAATGCATACCGGTACAACAACAACACCGTATTGGTAAGGGGTCCGGTTCGCCGGTTTTCTGGTCGAACCGACCAGTACGGTCCGGTTTTATCAACATTGCTCAAAAGACAATAAGAAAGCTACGGGAAGATAGAGACACAGAAAAAACACAAGATATAAATCTATTTTGTTACTCTTCTCCTTTCTCATGTTGGATGCATGGAGAAATTTGTATTGCTTCCCTCCTATTTTCTGAAGCCACGTGTATGTATATACTTTCTTTTCGTGTTCTCTTTTTTCATTATTATGTCGTTTTTTTAATAATAATTATTTTCTTTCTATTATTATATCATTAAAAAATGATTAATTTATTAATTTACATTTTTAAAATAATAATAAATAATCCTTTTCTATAATAAATAATGGGTATAAAATTAATAAAATATTCTTCTTCACAATTATATTAAAAATGTAAAGATTTGAGATATAATAATACAAAACTTATCCATTTAAATGGAATTATGGTGCGAACACGAGTGGTGATGTCTGAGTCACTTACACTGAGTAAGTGGATAATTAATTTAAAAACATTCATTCACGCTAAGATATGGTGCAGACACAAGTGTTGTTGCCTCACTCACAAGTGTGTTGAAAAACATTTATTCCATGCACGATGAACCTTTTACATGATGCGTATATGCATGATTCATGATTTTGAAAGATTAAGTTATAAACCAGGTTTAGTACACCAAAATCATGTTACCATATGTAAATACATGTTAATCATGTATGAATGCATGCAAGTCTCATTTTAAGGTGTTTCAATTTTAGGATTGTGAGACTTCCATTCAAGGTTCACCTAGCCTACTACAACATTTTTGGCCTATGGCAACAGCTGAAGACCGTTGTCAAAATGCAAAAAAACCGTTGTCTTTTCAAAGGCAACGGTTTTTTAAATGTGGTAGTATGAGGCGTTGCCTTTAGTTTAGACCACGTTTTTTAAATTTTGACAATACTTTTTTTTTAAACCGTTGTCTAATATTTTAAATAGACAACTGTTTTCCATCATTGTTAACACCAACGTTTAAAAACCGTTGCCTAAAAGGAAAGGTAAAAATCGTTGTCATAATGTATATTATCAACAATTTGAAAACCGTTGCCATTGTCTATATTAGCAACAATTTGAAAATCGTTGTCAGTCTAATTAGCAAAGAAACTGTTCTCTTTGATACACTATAGAATTTCCTTACCTACTCTAGCACTTTCTAAATAATTGTGTCCATGTATAATTTTAATTATAAGAGAATCACTATTTTTCCTATAATAATCTGAAAAGTCACAGATAAATAATAGAAATATACCTTATAACTCTTATATATATATGCCCATGCTTACTAAAAGTATTAAATATTCCACATAACTACTAGTGATTATAAACTTAAAACGATGATGAACCCAACCTGAGAGGTCTAGTCACATTAATAAGTATTATATAGGAATCCCACATTCTCAAAAATTTCATAACTTCAACCACCATCTACTCTACTTACACATAATTAAGTGTAGTCTAATAACCTAAATATCTGCTTCAAATTATAACTTGGTCGTCTTGCATATTTGGCTTTCAATCTTCAAGTCAGGAATACCAAAAGTGAATTGACAATAGGAGTTTGCAACCATATATTTCTAGATGAATCCAAGTAACAGCATCAACACGGAGTTGGCCTCATTAAATTCCCAATCAAAGTGGTCACATTGGATGCTAATTTATCTGCTTCTATGAGCCTGTTGAAACAAGTAAGAAATTTCCATTATTGGCATACTCTGATACAATATTGGAGTCTCTTGTTTATACTAGAGCTATAGAGACGTCTAACTTATCAAAGAACATGAAATTGAATATAGCTATGGTTCATTATAATTTATAACTCTCATTTGTAACTCATTTAAGTTATTAAAGAACATATACCAAATAAATACTAAGTGCCTAAATAGGCCATGGCTCTTTATATAATAATAAGAAAGTAAATTTTAATACTAAAGAAGCTGATAGTATAAATGGCACCACTTACAATTTGCAACTATTTTCTAACAATACCTTCCAAAGTAGCAGAAACAAGCTTGGATTTTAGCTCTTTGGTCTTGAACAAGCTGAAGGTTAGGATAAGACTCTCAATCACATTGGCCAAGAGGGGAAATCAACAAGTGACAAGAACATACATGATGAACATTTACTACACTTTGAATTTTTACACGGAATAGATTTTCAGCAAGTACATGTAGAACTCTACAACAAAACCAAGTCTTGTTACAAGGAGACGGATTATATGAAGTTATAGACGACATATGACTCAAAAAACACCAATTTGATAATAAAAATAGCATTATGACCTATTACATTAATCCATAACATACTACAACCCCAAGAAACCAGCTTTTTCGAGACTAAACCTTTTAAGAAAATCACTTATACCTTGATATGTAATTGTTGGATCAGTAGATATCAATACTTCCTCACAAAGCTTAATGGCCTTAAGTAAAATTTTAAGGTGGCCCCACTTAGGCTATCTAATACTTCCTGCAGAAGACTATAAAGATATTCAAAATAAACAAAATTGTTCAGGGTTAAATTTTGTCTTCTACATACAGAAAATTCATCAGTAGATATAAGGAATGCTATTCATTTATCTTCTTGAATGCATATGTGAACTAAGCTGCATTGAATTTACAATTGGTGGTACGTTACTATTACATATGCAATATGAAGGTTGAAATAATGCATACCATACTCATCAATTGAATTTGAGAAATTACACACACTGAATCTGAATTCAATTGTTTCGCCATGGCTCCTTTCCTCAACCAAATCTCATTCTCACCAATAGTACATATGGGAAAGAATATTAAAGAATCAACCAAAAACTACTTTGTACTCTGGCTAATCGAAGTTGATGGAAGAGGAAATCAATTTGTTAACCCTAAATTAAAAAATGGAAGAGGAAATCAATTCCTAAAGCCTAAATTATAAGGTGAAAGAGGAAATCAATAGATTTACTGGACTGGAAGATGAAATTGCAAAGTGGAAGAGGAAAACAATACATTAAGTAAAGGGATTTGGGAAAACAAAAACTAGGGATTTGAGAAAAGGAGAAGAAACCCTAAATATCAATCTCGAATTCAATATCAAAAGAAGAAGAAGAAACTTTACCATTGCGATTGATAAGAAGAAGAAACCCTACCCTGGCCGTGGGAGAAGACCGGGACATGGTGGAACTGGAGAAGATCAGGACGATGGTGAGTTTGAAAAAAAAATTGAAGGAGAAGTTTGAGTTTAGAGAAGATCGAAGGAGGATAAGTTTGAAGGACGTGAATTTTTTTTCCTTTAAAAGCAGCGAATGAGGTCTATAGTAGAGAAGGAGGAGAAGTTTGAAGGCTTACTAGAACGGTTCTGATTTGATCTTTATCTGCACTCTAGGAGAACGGTTTTTTTTACACATTATAGGATTATGAGTAGAAAAGCAGAACGGTTTTAGTACAACGCTAAAAAAAACCGTGCTCAAATATAATGACAAAAATAAACTTTGTCTAATATACTCTATGACCACGGTTTTAAAGACATAGTATATAAATGTAAAAAATTATCAAATAAGACAACACCATTAAAAACTGTGTTCTAATGTATTCTAAGACAACGGTTTTAAAACCGTAGAGAACGGAGGCGTTGTCATAGGTCAAAAATGTTGTAGTGGGCCTAGACTCTACCGAATCAATCATCTTAAGACTCTAGAAATATATTAACTTAACCTAAGTCTTCTTGATTGAACTTGAGCCTTGGCTTTGTTGTTTGTTGAGCCGTCATTCTCTTCAAGTTTGCCTATTATCCTTGTCTTCATCGAAACATTGTGATGATGCATACTTGTAATCTCATTTAGTAGCCAAGGGTTATAATCAAGAGACATGAATTGATTATAAAGAAACATATGTCCCTGTTGCAAAGTTAGAGGCTATTAGGATGCTTTTAGCTTTTGTTTCAATAATGCATTTCAAACATTACCAAATGGCTGTAAAATGTGCATTATTGAATGGATACATTCAAGAAGAAGTATATATGGACCAACCCCCTAGTTTTGAAAATTATAAGTATCCAAACCATGTCTTTAAGTTGAAAAATGCACTTTATGGTTTGAAACAAGTATCAAGGGCTTAATATGATAGACTTAGCTCTTTTCTCTTAGAAAAAAGCCTTGTGATGGGCAAAGTTGACACTACTCTTTTTATATCCATATCTGAAAAGGGTATTTTGTTAGTTCAAATTGATGTAGATGATATAATGGTGCAACTAATGATATTTTCTGCAAGGAATTTTCTGATTTAATGAAGGGTGAGCTTGAGATGTCAATGAGTAGCAAGCTAATTAGGCTACAAATCAAGCAAATAAACAATAGCATCTTTGTTCATCAATCAAAATATTGCAAGAAACTTATGAAAAAGTTCGATATGGATAAATCCAAAGAGGCTTCAACTCCTATGGTAACATCTTACTATCTAGACAATGATGAGAAAGGTATGGCATTAGAGGTAACCAAATATTGAGGTGTGATTATCTCTTTATTGCATTTAACTTCAAGCTGCCCCGACGTAATGTTTAGTGTTTGAATATGTGTTAGATATCAAGATTCTCCTCGAGAATCGAATTTTTCTGCAATCAAACGAATCGTGAAATACTTAAAATGAACCATTAAAATATGGGAGTTTGGTATCCTAGGGATGCATCACTTTCTATAATAGGCTACTCTAACTCGAATTTGATGGCTGCAAATTGGATTGAAAGAGTACTAGTGGTACTTGCCACCTATTAGGTAGTTCACTAGGTTCATGGCATAGTAAAAAGCAAGTGTGCGTTACTTTGTCAACCACCGAAGCGGAATATATAGTCGCTTGCATATGTTATGTGCAAATCATATTGATGAAGCATCAACTTCTAGACTATGGTCTAAAACTTGATATGAATCCTATCAAGTGTGACAATACTAGCACCACAAACCTATCAAAGAATCCCATATTGCATTCTAGAACAAAGTATATAGAGATAAGACATCATTTTCTTAGAGATCATGTGATACTAGCACCACCAACAATGTGCATAATGGTGATTGTGTTATTGAGTTTGTAGAAACCTCAAGACAACTTGCTGATGTATTCACCAAGCCCCTTCCTAAGGATTTATTCTTTATCTTGCACAGAGAACTTGGCATACTTGATGAATCATATATAAATTAACTTGTATTGGGTTCTTGAACAATCTTCTTGACATTCTTTTGTGATCTTGGTATATGCTTTATAATTACTTACTTGATTGCATGTTTCTTGTACTTATTTGACTTCATGCAGTTTTGGTTGTATTTAGTATGTTCTGAGTCTTTAGGATAGTTTTTTTTAGTCATGTCTTAGCAAGCCTTAGATTGTTCTGCATTTTAATCGATTATTCTATATTTCAATCGATTACCATAGACATTTTAGTGTATTTAATCAATTATATAGTTCTTAATCGTTTACCTGGACAAATTTTTAAGACAATTAATCAATTAATTATGGAATTCATCAATTAACTGGACTAATTTTGAGTTCCGGGGGCAACCACAGTCAAGCCGTGTACAAGAGTTAATCGATTAACAAACCCTTAATCGATTAAATTCGGCAAAAAAATTCAAATTGATAATCGATTAAACTTATCCTTAATCGATTAAATCGAGTGACAAAACAGGCTAAAGTACATTTCAATTTACTTCACTTACCCATGTGTGTCTTGTATGAAATTCCAAAGTTCCTAAAATTGATTCCCGATTTTTGTATAGAAGTGTATTTCGAGCAACTCCATTTCACCATTTCACTTCTTAGCCATCAATTTTACTTAAACCTGTTTTCTCCAAAATCCCAGTTTCAAACCCTAATTCGGGATTTTTGCGTTTTTAATCGATTATTTCATCATCTCCTTGACAAAAAGAGTCAAGTACAATGTTTGGATTAGCAGATCCCATCACCATCCCGGGCTGACAAGGAATTTGGCAACTAATGCTTCCTCGTCTACTACTCGGAAGCGTTTTGCAATTTGCAGAGACCCTTTATATGCTCCTGCTCTTCAAGATGAGAAGCTGGCTAAATTCTCTAGCTGAAAGCCCACATACATTCGATATGCTGACATTGCATGGATGGTAGAACAAGGGCTCCACTTCACGCACGAGCTAGAGGTTCAAGATGCCATTAAGTTTTTGGAACTGAATGGTGACAATCTGATTCTCGTCAAGGAATTCTATGCCAAGTTCAGTATAAAGATGGTGTTTACATGAGTTTGATCAAAGGGCTTTTGGTGACCTGGATTCTGAGTTGTTTACGGCTGTTGGAGGCCTTGCACGTGATGGGGCACCTCCAGGAGACTGTGAAGATGAACGACAGAGTTCTTACGACTCTGTCGAGATGTACAAGTCGTGCCTTAGAGGTCCTTACTTCTATGTTCAGGGCGAACTCACCAATGTCAGGTCGTTTTCAGTTGAAAATTGACTTCTTCTTTACTTGATCGCATACATCATAATACAATGCAACACTAATCATTAGCAGCCAACGATCAATGATTTGAAGTTGATGTTCATTGTTAAGGAAGACATTTTGATCAATTTGCCTACTGAGATATTGAAGGTTATGTCGGGCATTACCTCTTATTCCTCACGCTTATTGGCTTATGAGATTTTTATCTCTCACTTGATCAAACATCTAGGGATCGAAACTGCTAGCGAGTTGATAATTCTAGTGAATCCCATAGAGCATCTGGTTGGTGGTAACCTGCTCAACAAGATGAGCATATATAAGTATGGTGTTGAGCGAATGTATCAGGAAGAATACAACACAATCTTGGATCTTGTATTGTCTGATGAGGATGAGAATGCTACCCTAGTTGAGCAAAACCTTGGGCCATAAAATGATGAGGTACTTGTACCTCCAGAACCTACTTTTGGTTTTGCTCACTTGGATGCCATGGAATAATGTCTAAATGAGTGTATGGATAAACACATTCAGGGCATGTAAGACAGGCTCATGGATGAGTTTCATCGACAAGAGCTGGAAGGTAAGATTCAAATTTGACACTTTGAACTTCCTGTTCTCAACCTTTGGCGGCTTCTCTCAACCACCTCCTGATGCTTAGTGTAGCTTAGGGCGTCTTAGTGTGTCCTAGTTAGGTTGGATGTCAGATTGTGTTTTGTTATTATGTCTTGTATTCTTCTGACTCTATGTTATATCATGTTTTAATTTGTAAACCTTACATTGTAATTTCCTTCTTGTATTTGTCTTTTACTTTTTATTATCCTTTGAACTTTTTTTGAATGGTCAATGAATCTTGTTTTGATTATATTCTTTGCATTGTTCCTTCTAGTTTTATCTATATATATGCAATTGGATAATATAGTTTATCGATTTCTGCAATAACATGCAAATACATAGAAAATTTCTGTACTTTTGGCTATATTCTTAATATTTTATCAATACATTTTGATCATGCAAAAAGATGGAGAAAGTTATTGTTTGAGTTTTGAAGATTTGTTGCAAATTCATTGCTTCCACAAAGAAAGAAAAGCTTATTCTATAAAATAACTCCATGAATGAATTGAGGGGTGGGTGGGGGGCAGAGTAAGGGAGAGAAGCGCATCAAGTTCATGGCAAAATGCAAAACAAATCGATTGTCATCAAGCCATTCAAACAAGTGAATAAACAAATTTTTACACAATGGGTTGTCATTATAAAAAATGGAAGATTGAGATTGAAAGTATACATCATCACAATGTTTTGATGAAGACATGGATAATAGGCAAGCTTGGAGACAAGGACAACTCAACAAACAATAAAGTCAAGGCTCAAGTTCAATCAAGAAGACTTAGGTTTAAGTTTTACATTTCTAGAGTCATAAGATGATTGATTGGGTAGAGTATAGGCTAGGTGAACATTGAATGGAAGTCTCAAAATCCTAAAATTCAATCAACTTTAAATAAGACTTGCATACATTCATACATGATTAACATGTTCATGCACTTACATATGGTAACGTGATTTTGGTACACTAAACTTGGTTTATAACTTACATATTTCATAATCATGCATCATACAAATACATAGACCTGTCAAAATGGGCCGGGTATAGCGGGCCGACCCGTCAAGGCCCGAAAAGGTATAGGGCTTGGGTACAAAAGTTTGAGTATTTTAGTTAAACCGAGCTTTTTAGCCCGGCCCGGCCGGGCCACAATAAATTCGGGCTCGGGTCGGGCTTACCCGTTCGGGTTCGGGCTTTTCTTACCTGTGCATTTGACATGATGTAATCAATTACAATATACTCGTTATCGATTACAGCATATGAAAAGCATTAGTTTTTGCTGTTTTTTAAACAATGTAATCGATTACACAATCCTGGTAATCGATTACATGCTTATAAACTAATCAGACCTGTGCATTTTATATGATGTAATCGATTACAA